AGCACTAAAAGAAGGTCTTACAAAAATAATTCCAATTGATTACCACTAAAGAATGTGAAATATTTTCATTTGCTTTTCTTACAAAGTTGACTTTGTTGCATTTGTTCACAGGGAGTATTTTTCCTTCTCTGCGTAAAGGCCCCTGCAAAAATCCTGGGAGGATTTGTGGAGTGTGATATTTCTCAGTCAGACTTAGGAGAACCTACTGTAGCCCAAAAGGAATTCTAAGATACCTGTTGATAAAAATATGTAGAATAAGGTTTCTAAATCTGTATATGAAGTATGCGTATGTGTGTATAATTTTGTAATATATATTAAAAAAAATAATAACTGAAGAGGATATATATTTCCTGCTAAGACAAGTATTGCATTAATGAATAAACTCTGGCACCAAGTCCTGTTGTTGACTGTGCTGTGTTCCCTTGAAATGCAGGCTCGGCCCACTCCTGGGTGACAGCGAACCAGGCTTGTAACTTTTAAATCTGCAGTTTGAGAAGAAGAATACGAGGATGAGATGAGGACCTCGTGCAGATGGATCCCCTCTGAGGGCGAGACCCTGCTTGCTCCCCTCCCTGTCACAGAGAAGTTTCCCAGTAGCCAGCTTCGGCGCTTGTGGCTGTTTGCAAAGCTTTTCTCCATCCATGCTGTTACGCTCCGGGTTTTGGAACTGGTTTTTCTCCCCCCCTCTCCCCTTGTATTCAATGTTGTTTGCTTTTCTACTTCCTTCCAGGCATTTTTAAATAACTCTCAGGGTCTCCAGCAGCTTGGGTAAAGCGTTAAGCGGCCAGCCTCATGACTCCTGGTGCTCATCTCAACACCCGGGGCTCTGCTGACCCTGCCAGGAGGGCAAGCCTGGCGGAGCGGGAGCAGGGAAGGTGGAACACCTCCCCATACCCGGCTGCATCCAAAAAGTACATCAGTAATAGTTGCTTTCAGTTGCTGAACGAGCAAGCTAGTGACATGCCTTGGCTCCATAATTATGAGACCCTTAGCAAAAAATCAGTATTCTTCTTTACCTGACTCCAAGGCATGAAAGCAAACACACCTACTGTTGCCATAAATACAGTCGCAATGGTAGCTAGAAACTAAATAAAGCGACGTCCTGTTCCCGGCACTTTGGATTTTGTTTCCGTTACAGCTCTTGCTAATTCCTGATTGTTAGCAAGGGACTCCAACACTGGCCACTGAGCGTCATCCTTCAGAAATATTTAGCTGGAAAATCAGCTCTGATAGTATTAAGATTTTCTTACTTTAAAAGCAGATGATAAAAATCTTCATACCCAATAAGGTGTTGCTGTAAATCATCAAAACTGAAGTGCACTCATGCAAACACACCGCAGCCTCTCCAGTGCCTGCATTTGGCATTAGCAAGAGTCAACCCAGTTCCACATTGCCCAAATTCCCCAAAATTTCACATGCAAAAAGTGTCTACCCCGTCCCACGAGCCTGCTCACTGTGCTGGGGCTGCCAGGCCCTGCTCCTCGCCTGGGGGAGCGGGCGGTTTACTGCACACCACTGACCTGACGCGATGTCCTTGAGGATGTCCCCAGAGGAAGCCTAGTTCCTCCTATTCTTCTCCAGCTGCTGCTGGCACAGGTGTCCCTCCCCTAGCCCCATTGTCCCTTGTCCCAGCCTTGGGGTTTGCACAAACAGCCGTGGCTGATGTCAAGCAGACAGTACATGTTTCCTTCTTTGGCCTTGGAGAAACATTTTTTAACCAGTTCCTTCAGCAAGCTGATTTTTTTTTTTTTTTAAGTGCGGTATGCCACTCAGCAGGATTTCTGGTCTCCAGAAGATAATTTGGTTCTGATTATTATCTGAAACAGGGGCTTATAGATATGTTCAGTTGTGGGGGTTGAGAAACGAAACCCCTTTTAACTTAGGAACCGGGACTTTGATTGATTTTCAAATGGGAACATCAGCCCAACTGAGAAGAAAATTTAAAAAGCATGGCGTATTTACTAAAAACCAATAGAAGCACGATGTGGTTTTAAGTTACCAAAAACTACTCCCTTGCCAAAACTGTGGGTAAAAATATCAGTATAAGCTTTGCAGATGAAGATCTCACTAAAAAGTGTTGTGTGTGGGGGGGTGTGTTCCTGTCCGTGAAATTGTAACCAGTCCGTAAACAGCTCTGGCAGGAACATACAAACTTTTATTGGAGAAAAAAAAAAAGCCACTGGAAAAAGTTATTAGCTATATTCTTGCAAATCAAAGGAAAGGATCTGACACCGCAGTCTTGAAAAAGAAGTTCTCTTCCCTGGGACAGGACCCCTGACTTCTACCTCATTAGACCTCATACACAACCTAATGAAGGGTATCACCAGCAATTCATTAATTACTCTGCTGGAATGACCTCTTAGATATGCACCTAGAAATTATTTTTAAGTATTTTTGGTTATGTCCATAACCCCAGCTTGGAAATGTCCAGAGGAGCTATAGTTAGAAATGGCCATTTTTTGTCCATGGACCTTGGTTGGACAAAAAATGCTCATTTGGGTTGCTGAAATAAATTGTCAGTTGAGCACTCAGCCTGTCTGACCATTTCAGCTGGAAAGAGAAGACACTAGCAGTGCTTGTATAAAAGCAAAGACATGTACTGGTTTAGCAGAAAGGAAATGCTTTTGTGTTGAGCTCTCTTATTTTGTACAAGTCAAAAGAAAATTCCCCCCATTTCTTCCAGTAGGAAATTCTGAGTAAAACCAATTTGAGATGGCATCAAAGTATTTTTCTCCTCCCAACACAGTTTTTTCGGTGTGGCAGCTGACCCAAAAGGCTCTGGTTTCAGAGTATTAGATGTGACACCCTACATCTTAGTCTTAGCCCAGAGAGGAGTGACAACCTTACATCACCCAAATGATGCTTCTCTTTTTTTTTTAGTGAAGCCAGTGCCATCCAGTAGCTTGCCAAATTGTAGGGTACAGGAGAGGTTGGTGAAGGGTCTCCAGCTCCTACACCCTTCTCCTTTGCATCAAAGGTCTTTGCAGCCTTTGGATGTGCCCAGACCCAAACCCCAGTCCCAGTCCCTGCTGCTGGCCAGAGGACATCCCAGCGACCAGGGCTCTTCCAAGAACACTGTACATAAACAGGTCTGGGGAAGGACAACAGAAGTCTGTAGTCTTCAGTACTGGGATTTTTGGAAACTTATATTTAGGGTATGTGAACAAGGGGGCTTCTTGTTTCAGTTCCCTGGTTGGATTGCTGTCACTCACTACCACGTTACTGAGCTAACTCAGCACACAAAACCCAGATAAATCAACAAATAGGAAGATTACTGGAATGAACAGTGAATTCATGGTCATGACAGATGCCTGCTAAGCAGGAAAAGATAAGACAGACTTGCAGGTCAAGGGGTTAAAGTCTGAATTAGCTGCTGCAAGAGGGTAGCTCCAGGAGAAGATCCTGGGGATGCAGAAGGGTGAGCGGACTGTCAGCAAGGGCACCGGGATTAGCTTTTTTTAAACTCATTAGCTTTTTGCTCATTTGCTATCCCCTCCCCTCACACTACCATGTATTCTGATGACTGTGCAAATAAACTGCCCCACGTTACTTGACATGTGTACAACATGTGTCATCAAATCGTTCTACCCGCTTGTCTTCATCCAAGGGTCTCCAAAGAGCAAGCAGAAAGCGCAAGGAGGACCATGTCTGGAGAGCCTCTGCCGCAGTCCTCCCATCTTCGGGACAGTCCATTAATCTTCACCCTCTATAACACTGTCACCATCCTGACCTTCCTGCAGACTCTGCTCTGCGGGCAGGAATCCGCTTGAAAAGGACAGCTTTACAGTAAAATAAAAAAAGATGGGTCCAAACCAGGACGCGCCCAGAGGCGCTCAGATGTGCAAAATGCTGGTTTGCATACGTGCACAGCCAGGTTACGTGCGTGGCTGCGGCACCCAACAGCGAGCACACCCGCTGCAGTGCTGGGGCAGAAAAGAAGTCACTGTGTTGCTTGGCATCGCCTGGTCTGAAAAAGGATAACCAAAGCAAATCCTGCACCAGTAAATATTTAATTTCAATACTGAAAAATATTTAAATTTCAATCACGCTGCTAAAATGCTCTTGGATCCTAAAACACTGTTGCAGAGAAGTTGCTTCAAGCCCTTTTAGGGGCTTTTGCAATGTTAGTGTTTGTTTAAACATTACAGCGTGCTATATTAATGCCTTTGCCCTTTCTCTAATGGCTTTCTGCAGAGCCACCAACATCAGCCAAGGCCAAGTGATTCTCTGCACTACACTGGATCAGGGTCAAGTGATTAGCAAGTTATTAACGTGGAGCATCACAGCATCAACCCTCACCCGCATGATGCTGGGGCAGCATCTGGCTAGTGCTTCCCCCGACATGGAGGGTTTGCTCTGGACAGCATCAGGGACCGGCCAAGCTTGGCTCTCTCCTGGCAGCCTGGACCTTCCCACGACCTAGCTCCTATTTCAGGGCTTGTCCATCTATTTAAAGCGCACGAAGAAGGGGAAAAATGCACTGGAAATGTAGCATGCGCATGAGACACCATGCCAAATACTCAGTTTCTTTTAGAGGCCGATAGCAAGGGATCCCACGGCTTTTTATTTTTGTTGGTTTTTTTTTTCCCCCTTTTTAGCAATACATGCTTGAAAACTATCAGGCCCTATTAGGGATTAGAAAAATCTTCGGCTGGGTGAGTGAGCAGATCAAGCCCTTGAAAACAACAACAAAAAAGCAGGAACCCGGCTAGTTTCTCCTGCAGAAAAGCATCACCAGCTGAAGCTCAGTGAGCCCTTTCGCAGCCAAAGCTTTAGGATGGGAGCGAAGAGCCCGCTGCGCCGGGGGGGAAGGGGAAGACAACGAGGCGACCGCCCGGGCTGCCACCAACAATCGGTGAGCCAGACCACGCTACAGGAAGCCGTAGCCTCCGGTGATAAATAGGAGACCCGGGAACACAGGATGCACGTAGGGCGAGCTCGGCGGGACGAGGGGATGTGAGCCGGAGGCTGACGAGTCCCTCCATCCTCCCCTCCGTCCGTCCAGCCGGCGGGATGGCCATCGCCCGGCTGCTGCTGCTGCTGCTCTTGCTGGCTCGGGGGTCCGGTGGGGAGGACGCCGAGGTGGTCTGCGCCGGCTCCGCCTGCTACACCCTGCACCGGGCCGAGCTGGGCTGGAGCGCTGCCCAGGAACGCTGCCGGCACAACGGCGGCAACCTGGCTCCGGTACGCAGCCCCGACGAGGCCCAGCGGCTGCGGGAGCTGATGGCGGCGGCCGGCTGGCCGGGCCCGGCCTGGATCGGGCTGTCTCTGTCACGGGGCCAGTGCATCCAGCCGCAGGAACCTCTGAGGGGCTTCACCTGGGCGGCCGGCGGGGAGCCCGGTAACTACTCGGCCTGGCTGTCCGAGCCCGCCGTCACCTGCGTCACCTCCCGCTGCGTCAGCTTGCGGCCGGCTGGGCCCTCCGGCACCGCCGGCTGGGCTGACCGTCCCTGCCGGGCCCTGCTGACCGCCTTCCTCTGCAAGTTCAGCTTTCAGGGGATGTGCGGACCCCTGCCGCTGGCCGGGCCCGGCCGGGTCAGCTACACCACTCCCTTCGGGGTGCGCAGCTCCCAGCTGGCGGCTGCCCCCTTCGGCACGCTGGCGGAGGCCGACTGCGAGGGGGGCGGGGGCCAGGCCTTCGCCGTCTGCAAGGGGCCGCTGGAGGGGGGCGGCTTCGCCTGGCACCCCCCGGGACCCCTCTGCCCTACCGCCTGCGCCCACCGCAACGGGGGCTGCCAGCATCGCTGCCTGGAGGCACCGGGGGAGACCCCGCGCTGCGCCTGCCATCCCGGCTACGTCCTAGCGCCTGACATGGCCTCCTGCCTGCCCGAGGACGCCTGCCACCCCAACCCCTGCCAGGGGACCTGCCGGACCCTGCCCAGCGGCTTCGAGTGCGGCTGTGAGGCCGGCTACGCCCTGGCGCCCGACGGCCGCCGCTGCCTGGACGTGGATGAGTGCCGGGACAGGCCCTGCCAGCACGAGTGCCACAACACAGCCGGCAGCTTCTTCTGCCTCTGCCGGCCCGGCTACCAGCTGACGGGGCCGGGCGGCCGCCACTGCCTCGACGAGGATGAGTGTGCCTTGCCCGGCGTCTGCCCCCAGCTCTGCCTCAACGTCCCCGGCTCCTTCCACTGTGCCTGCCGGCCCGGCTACCAGCGCCAGCCCGGCAGTGGCAATGCCTGCCTGGACGTGGACGAGTGCCTGCGGGACCCCTGCCCCGGGCCCTGCCGCAACCTGCCCGGCAGCTTCGAGTGCCTCTGCCCGCCCGGCTTCCTCCCGGAGGAGGATGGACACGGCTGCCGCGCCGCACCCACCGCTGGAGAGCAGCCCGCGGGGACCCCCAACAGCACCCTGCGGACCACGGGCATCTCGCGGACCACGGGCGCCCTGCGGACCACGGGCATCCTCCAGACCACGGGTGCCCCATGGACCACGGGCATCCCCCAGACCCTGGGCATCCCCGTCAGGGTGACGCCGCCGGCCCCCACAGCAGTAGGGTCAGCACCCGGCCCCGAGCACAGCACCGACGGCCCCAGGCTGCTCCTCTACTACATCCTGGGCAGCCTGGTAGCCATTCTGCTGCTGCTGGCCTTTGCCCTGGCCCTGCTGGCCTGCAGGAGGAGGGCGGCCAAGCGGGAGAAGCAGCCGGCCAAAAGCGCGGCGGACAACTACTGCTGGGTGCCTGAGCAGCCGGAGAGCCGCGGGGCAGGCGGCGAGCGCAGGTAACGGCACCCGGGGCAGCGAGGGGGAAGGCAGAGCCTTGAGCAGCAGAGAATGTTTTTGCAAATTAAAAAGAAAAATAAAAGGGAGGGGGGGTGTGATGCTGTCTGTTCAACATGGTTTTGCGTGTCCAAGAGCCTGTCCTGGAGTTCCTCGCAAAGCGGGAGCTCATCCCCCTCACCCCCGCAAAGGCAGGTCTCGGTGCTGGGTGGGACGGCAGCCCAAATCCGTCCTGCGGTTTATAAACCAGCCACCGCTCCTCGGAGGAAAGGGTTAACAGGGACAGTGCTGCAAGGTTGGGAAGGGATGGGGTTGAAGTCACCTGCTGGGGCTGCTCCTCAGCTCTGCAGAACCTCACTGTGCTTAAAAATAGCAAATTATAAGTATTGATTCGTCTTCCTACAGGAAAACAATTTCCATTCTCATTTGGCCTCCCCTACCTGTATTTGAAATGCCAACCTGCAAAAGCAGCAGCTTCCCTGCCCTGTCCCCGCAGCCCCCCCAATTCTCTGCCATCCCCAAAGCAATGCTAGTCCACCCCCTCGCCTGCCTGGCAGCAGCCAGCCTGCATTCAACCCTTGGTTTTGCCTTGTTCTCATTGAAATGGGTTTGAAAATACTTGTGTGTTTCACCAGGTCAAGAATTGGTCTCTGCAGCCACAAGCAGGGCTTTTTTTTCAATGTTGGTTTGGTTTGGTTTTGGGGTTTTTTTTAAGGAAAAAGTCACATCAGAGGTAACTGAATAAACCTTTTTAAAACTACAGCAGCAGAGAGCTTTTTCAGGGGAGCAGACACCGTAAGGTTAGTGGAGCTATATCATCCCTGCAGCTCCCCAGACCTGTGCAGGAGCCTGCGCGATTGCCCTGGGTTTGGAGCAGTGAGGCAGCGATGCTTCCCCCGAGGCATCGAGCCCCGGAAGGGCGAGACCTTGACCCAGGAGGTGCACAGCATGGGGAAATCTGTGCGATCCAGCCTTGTAGGCAAGGGGCCAAGGCAGAGAATATATGGTAAAAAGGTATGAAAAACTATGTTTAGAAAAGCCACCTACCCATTTCTGGTGTATTCAGTTTAAAACCACTTGCAAAATACAGAAAACAATGCTCTCCTTCAAATGCAGCTGCATGAGAGACCAGACCTTTCCTGTTGGATCATACTTTTGGGGCAGGACCCCTTCCCAACTGCTGGGGGTCCAGGCTGAGTGCATTTTCCATTCCTCCCCCTGTAAAGAATACACTGGATGTTATATATTTGCTAATTATTATGTATAAAACTTTTAACCCTGCTTCAAAGCAAATGCTTTCTCAGGGCAAATTGTTACCCAGTCTTCCCCAGGTACCTAACTTCAGAGAGCTGCTTATACTCGGCTACTCCTGACAATGAAGCCTCTCTGAGCTGTTTCAGCGGGAATCCTCCCCCAAAAACTGAGGGGCACAGCGGCCATTCCTGCTTCCCATCAAGCAGTGCCAGCTTCATTATTTATCCATGCTCTCCAAGGTAAAAAGGTGCTAGAAAAGAACAGGCATGTGATTTGAACGGCACATAAGTTTCCTGAAGTTTCTGCTGGTTTTATTGTATACTTGAGGCTTAATTGCTACAGAAATGGGAACTGAACACAAAGGAGTTTGCTGTAGGCAGCGACCTGCATCCTGTTCTTCCATGCGTGGAGGAAAACCCTTTCCTGCTGTTTTTTTTGTCTTCATTTCTCCATTGTAAGATTAAAAAAAAAACCAACAAAACCAAACAAAACAACACAGGCCGATGTAGCTGATAAAAGTGTTTTTACTGTTCCGTCCCTGCTTCCTTTTCTCCGCACAGTGGCTGGGAGAAGCAGTGAATGCAGCAGCGGCATTCTTGGAAGTCCTGCAGAAAATTCATACCCTGTCTGTGTTATGACAAGCCAGCAAAGCACTCTGAATATATGAATAAATTAAGCAAACGAATAATCCTACTGAAATCAGTGGGACAACCTACATACATAAAATTATGCCTGCGCTGTCGGGCTATGCTGACTCGGGGTCTGTATGGGGAAAAGCCACTCACAGCGACGTGCCTTGCATTGCAGGGACTACTTGGTTTGCTTTATCAGAAGCAGAGGCATTTTCCACACATTGATGTCTCAGGAGTGGTTCTGCCTTATTCTTCAGTTAAGGTATCAATTAATCATTGTATATAATGCTTATTCCACTATGAAAAAGGGAAAAGGAAGCATAAGTGTGGGCTCAGAGCTGGTACAAATCTGAGAGGTGTTATTTATTCCAGAAATTCCTCAGTAAAACCTATAATCCTGATGTCTGTTATGACTTTTGTGTATTCCAGTATGCGTACGATATTACCAATGGAGTGTGGTAGTGGGTCCAGCCTGGGGAAGACACTAATTTGTGTCTAGGTTTAGTTTGGGTTCTCTCTGGTCGAATATTTCCTGATGTAGCATCTTTCACACTGGTGCAATTACACCTGGATAATCTCATGTCTCCCTTTCTTCCTGCCACGAACCCAGCAGGAACATTTTGATCTGCATCCTTGTTAGGGAGTTATTTAGGGCCCGGTGAATCCCATGGGCTAAAGCAAACAGGGATGGGACCAGATAGTTCGGTACCCCGTCTTACAGTCAGAGGAGACGGGATGTTCATTCTGGCCCAAGGGGGTTTTACCGCGGTGCCCAGGGCAGCTACCTCTGCTCCCCGTTCCCGCCTTATCAATGAGGTGCCATTATAAGCAAGACCTATAACTGTCCTGCTGTCACCATGGCAGGACGGGCTAGCTGACATGTCTGAAATGCTTTGTACATATCAACTGGTTTGTAATGAAGTAAGTGTTATATTTTTATGGTCCAAAATTAAGACACGCCTCATCCTTTGCGGAAATGGCACGTCAGGACTGGATTTTACTTTGTCATATGCATGGCAATGGCACAGCACCACAGCCTTGCAGTTACCTTTGACTAAAAGAATAAGGTTATCCCACACGTTGAATAACACTGTATGTTGCTTTTCTGATGAAACACCAATAAAATCTAAACAGAATGCGTCTTCAGTGGTTTTTAAGAAACATATACAATATCAAAACCTATTGATTTGGTACATGTAATCCTTGTGTTACCTACAGTGGTGGACGGTGGTAACAAATGCTCTATCGGTGCTCATCCTGCGTGTAGTGAAGTCAGTGGGGTCTCAGCCTTTCGTAGGCACTGCTGCCTGAGCGAGGGCCATTCACTCCATATCTACCAAGGCCATGGGGTAGGGGCACTGGGATGATCTCGGTTGGATCCTAAGCCCATGAGCAAAGTCCTAAGCCCACGAGCAAAGTCCTAAGCCCACGAGCAATCCCGCTGATTTCAGCGTTGCTCTGTGTGAGGGCAGAGATCTGCTTTTCTGGCTCTGGGCAGCAACCAGGCACAGAAGTCACTCGATGAATTCAAACTGTGGGATTGCTGGTGGCTAGAGCTGCCTCCACGACATGCACCACCAAAGAAAGGCCATCCTTAAGAGGTCACAAAGATGGGGGAAAAAACCTCAAGGACACAAAACCCCACTCGTATCACCCATGTCTGCAATGGCATTCATGTGGTGTTTTATCAGTCATTAACATTTGCCTTAAATAGTGTTTCAAAACAAGAAAACAACAAAAAAAAGGACACTACACCTCATGATGGATGTTTGGTGCCTCCACACATCAAACTACAAAGAGCATTCCCAGAGTTGTTCTGCCTGCCCTGGAAAGCACCCATGGGCATAAGGCACCAGCCATGCAACATTTGCCGGCAGTGTCTGTGCAGGGAGCAGGGGGGTCCCCATGGAACGCAAGGAGCTGCTAAGGGTGGGACGACGGTTCTGTTTTAGCAGGAACATTGCTCCTAGCCAGAGTGTGGTGAGAGACAGCCAGCCTGCTGTTACCCCTAATCCTATTTATTTTGCCCTGCTGAGGTTGGGGCACGTTGGACGGAGTTCCCCCTGCAAGAGCCTCAAGGCTAACCTGATAAACCAAAGCGAAGGAGCGCAACATAGTAATTCAGCCACCCCCAGGGATATAATTTTTCCCCATTTCTGGGAAAGGTGCAGCAAGTAAACGGCGTCCACCAGAAGAATTCAGAGAAAAGGTACTGACTAATGTTAAAATATAATCTACAAAATACCACGCTCCTTCCTTCAAATCCCACAAAGACTCAGCCACTGGAAAAACAAATGCTTTAAATGTCTGCTCATTTCCTCTTTTTATTATTTTTATCTTTTAAATATTTCTTGGCATTTGGTTCTCCTGAGCCCTTTCAAGGCCGCTAAGCGAAGTTCACGCCTTGCCGAGCAGATCAGAGCAGTGGCGGTGACAACGTGGAAAAGCCAGCCTGCGGCAGAGGGAAGATCCTTTAGCTTTCCTAAGGGAAAACCCAGGTCCCTCAAGCTGCTGGGCAAGTGCATGTCTCGGAGATGTTGCAAGGCTCAACAGGAAGCTCATGGAGAAGGATAAGAGTCTAATGCCCCTAAATAAGCAAAATTTCCAATATTTTCCCTGCTGGGGTCCTGACAAGGTCCATCCCCTGTGAGTTGAGCTACATGTGAGCCATCATGTACAGAAAATGCCAATTAATTCAGCTGCACTGGCTTGGGGCAGGGGCAGAGGGGTGGGACAGGGTGTAAAGGCAGGGCGCCAGGTGAAGGTGATGGTAGGAGGAGAAGTCACACACTTGCCATGCCAGATATCGCAAACACCCAGCCTCGGGACGCTTAAGCCCTGTGGGAAACGGCACCGGCTGGTTTCCCTGGTTGTAGTCCAAGAATTCACATAAAACTATGAGCCAGAGGAAAAAAAGTACCAGGCATGCTTGCAGGACCTAGCTCAGCCCTACCACTACCCTCAAGTGTATTTTCTGTATCCGGACTGAAACTTGTGGCTGTAACAGACCATGGAGATAGGAGGGCACCTGTGGAGAAAACTTATTTTCCCAGTTTTAACAAGAAAGAAGACTCACTCACCACCTGGTGTGACCTCCCTAGCCCTGCCTTCTCCAAAGCCATTGCAAACAAAGCTCCCTCCAGACAAAACGCCCTAAGTAGTGCTCTTAATTAATATACAGCCAATTAAGCATCCTCCCTGCGGCTGTGCAGCAACCCCCCACTTGCAGGTCCCTACCTTGCCTGGGTGCTTGGCCGGGCATTAAGTCTTATTTTTTGATGTATTTATTTGTCTGGCGCTGTCATTACTTGCTGTCGTACGCAGCCGGTGGACACCACGAAACCCCAAGCAGATTGCCCAAATCAGGGAGAAGGGAGCCCCGTGCAGTTTTAATGATCCCAAGTGGGATTACACGCAGATCGTGTGTAGATGGGAAAGCACCTATATGCTACTTAATGGTCTGCTTTTAATTTTTTTTAAATCTCGACATAACAATTTAAGATTATATTGTTATTTATATTATATTTGTTATATTTATTATATTAACTATATCAACTATGTTATATTATAATATATTATATTACATTATATTACCTTATATTAAATTGTGTATAATTGTCAGCATTCTGACATTAGGAACCTCATTTCCAAAATCCAACAAACAAGCCAAGAAAATCCGTGACACACCCCCCGCCGCATAACCACAGGTCAAAAAAAATATTCAAAATACCCTCTATCAGCATTCCTCTGGCTGAAGGATGACAATGACATTTCAGATGAGTCAGACTCAAGTAAAGTGAAAGGTCTCCCTCCTGTTATCGCAGCGGCCAGCCGGTAATGTCTTGCAATAACTTTGCATTGCAGAGGAGCATGATTAATCAGCTTTTATAAAGGAAAAGCAGCATGTCAGCAGGAAGGGCATTTCTGTATCTGTGAGTCAGCCCGTCAGGGCCACATCAGCCAACGCCTGTCATGCCTTGAGGCAACCGAGGGAAAAGATCATTGGAATAAAAAAGAGTTATTAAAACATGATTAATCTCGTTTCTCCTGCCCTGATTATCTTTCCCTTCCACTGGCAAGATCAACCCTGCAAACTGTTGTCGGCAGGGCAAGGACATCAGCGCAATAATCTGAGAAATCATTGTTTGGGGAGTACTATATTTTTTCCTGGAAATTGTCAAAATATTTCTCATTATGCAGCCTTGAAAAGGAAATTTTAATCTGTTTTTATAATTACTTAAAAAAAAAAAGAACAGAAATCTATTGGCTTTTTTTTTTCTTTTCCACCCATTACATTCTGTCTTCTTTCTTTTTCCGTTGTTTGTCCTGACCTTTCCCCCCTTATTTTGCTGTTTTGCTTCTGAAAACAGAAAAAGAGAAAAAGACCACCAGAAGCTAAAAAAATGAAATGAAAACTAGGGAAACAACAGGTTTTACTAAAGCAAGGAAAGGCTGGCGTTACCAAGCCCTCCGGGAAACTTCTGGCAATTATCCTATTTACACATCTTGTGGTGATGAAGAGCAACTGAGCTCTTCTTGGGTGAATTATTTTATCCAGGAAGTGACTGGCACCATTGCAAGCTCACCCATACACACTAATTTCTCCCTCCTTCTCAGAGGTCAGAGGAATGGCAGATCATGTGTCACGAGGAGGAGACGATGGCTTTGGGTTGAGATTAGGGAACCCCGGCCTGAGCCCAGCCCTTGCCGTGGGCTTCATTAGCGGAGAAAACGAACCTGCCCTGCGCTGTACCCCAGCCGGCCTTTCTGCTCGGGGAACATCCTGGCCAATGAAATTAAAACCCAGACATTGATTTCCCGTGTAGGTGATCGAGCTGAAATTTTCAAGGGGGAGAAATGATAGCTTTGAATGCTCTGTAGGCCAAGATCTGAGCTGCCCATTGCTCCTCCTGCAGTCCGAGCAGAAAATGGCATTTCCTTGATATTCCCCTTACCAGAGAGGCAATGGAAGGTGTGGAAGAGGCTGAAGACAGGCAGGGGGAAAGGGGTCTGATAAAGAGCATGAGCTCCTCTGCTCCCATTTCCATCAGGCTAGCTTTGCAGCTACCAAACAGCACAGCTTTTTTAGTGATTTTTTTTTTAAACTGTTATTAAGGATTATCATTCCTCTTTTCTCCATCTTTCCTTTTCTCCACAGCCCACAGCCTCGCGTGAGCTACACAAACCACACGGGGCTGGAAGAGGACAAGAAAAACCATAAGAGTTTAATAAAGTAACCTCCTTGCAATGAGTGAAGCAAGGAAGTATGGATTTGCTTCTCCCCAGGGGATCCCAAGGGCTAATTGCAGTGACTGAATCTTACGGTAAAACCACTGCTCTCAAAATTGAAAAAAAAAAGGGTCAAATACCCTTTCCTTTGAGTGGCGAAGCTTTGGCTGTTTGCTTTTCATTCTTATTTTGCTCTTGGCTATGTTCTGACAGCAGAGGCGGCTCCTGCAAAGATAAAACCACGGAAAGGGTACAGCTGTTCAGAAAACAGCAGCAGAGGCACCCGCGAGGAAGGGGAGCCGGCACCCCGGGGGTGAGTCGCCCCCGGCCAGGAAGGGGGACCAGGGATGGGACCCCTCTCCTGGGGCTCAGCCCCAGCTCTCGGGCAGCGTAGGAGCCAGGAATCTGTCTCGAAGCATGGCGCAGCGCGCTGCCGGCCTCTCCACACCGATTTTCTCTAATTTCAAGAGCAAGGCCATGCCAGCCCTGTTTATACGCACAACTGGGGGCTGATTTGCAAAGCCCGGGAGAAATCCCATGTTTTTTCTGGTGTCCCATCTTACCTCAAATCCTCTGGGACTGCTTTGCTGGGCTGTAAATTGCGAGGCACACAGAGATGGGCGTTCGTTGCTGTTAACACCGCG